CTGTAATGGGGTATCTGGTAAGGACTTGATAATGGGGGGAATATAGTAACCACAATGTTGCTCATGCGATTTTATATTAATGATACCAAATAAAAAAAAAGTTGATTGAGAAGAAAAAAATAGCATATGGCAATTATAAAGAACTAATAACAACTTAAAGGTCGTATCTTTTCTGCAGGGTAGGGAAATAACTGGAGTTAGTAAACCAGGGTCCAAGTTCTGGGCTAATCATATATTTGTTGTGCGGATTTGTGATTAATCTTTATGAATATGAAACTCATCTCCTACTTGAAGGTGATAATGGTAAATTCACTAGCTGGTTAGTTTGAGATAAAAACTATGCTAGAAATTATGTATGAGCCAGTTAATATCTCACCATGAAGTAGGCATTATTTTTATCACTATTCCCATTCTATAGATTAGGAAACAAGTTTAGAGAGATTAGTAATTTGTCCAAGGAAACCTGGCTAGTAAGTGATGGAGAAAGTTGTTTTCAGAACTCAGCTTTTAACTGTGCAACCTGCTCTTTCAAAATACTCCCTCCACAGGACTGCCAGGAGGATGAAATTAAACAGAATGGGGTCAGTGTAATACATATTTTATACTCTTACCTACTAAATAGGGTAGGTGAAAGAAGTATTTTATATAGTATAAAAGTACAAGACAACTATTAGAGTATTATTTTCTTCCTGGGAAGGACAATAAACATTCCTAGGCATTATAGGTTTAATCATGCATAAAGAGGAATGGTACCGAAACCTTAATGACAATGAAAAACTATGTCAATAGCTCTTGAACTTCAGTGTGTATGGATTCACTTTGATATTTGTTTAAAATCAGATAACCTGGGCTCCATTCCTCCTAATTCATTACATGTGGGGGCTAAGAATATGCTTTTATACCAAACTCTGCAAGACATTTTGATTTACAAGTAGTTTACAGACATTAGTGAGAAATAATGGCCTAAAATTATTGAAAAATTAAAGCTATATGTGTTATGGGCTGAACTGTGTCCCTTTAAAATTCATACATTGAAGCCCTAACCCCCAGTCTTTCAGAATGTGACTGTATTTGGAGACGTCCTCATGGGACACAGGTGGCACAAGCAGAGGGACAAGCATGTGAGGACAGTGAGAAGGTGGCATCTGCAAGCTAATCAGAGCAGCCTCAGAAGAGACCTGGTGACACCTGGATTTGGGGCTTAAGTCTCCAGAGGCATGAGAAAATAAATTGCTATTGTTGAACCCACTCAGTCTGTGGTATGTTTGTCATGGAAGTCCTAGTAAACCAATAGAATAAGCAACATTTTGAAGTGGAAATAATACCTAATTTGGTGATTTGGTAATTAAAGCTCCTAAAATAGTTTTTATTAAAGACAAAGGAATTAGCTACATTAAAAGAACTAAAATAATTTTTTCCTTTTGTTCTAGGCTAATTAATAAGCAACTGAAATTGATGAACAAGAAGGCATATGCCACTAAGCTACTCCTTCTATAGGTAAAGTTCTCTACCACCAGACAGCTTCCTTGGTCTCTATAAATTACCTACAATCCAAAGAAAATAGACCATATTTTTAGTACATGTACTTCTCCTAGCTAGCTATCCATAGACCCACCCATTCGACTATTCATTCATTTATCTAGTTATCCATGTATCCATACATTTAATCAGTATTATTGAACACCTACCATGTGCTAGATGCTATTTGAGGTACTAAAAAAGAACTTCTTGGTGGGAAGATAAAAGCCCCTCAAATATTGTAAATGAAAACTCTAAAGTTTCATTTGAACAAACTCAAGTATCCTTAGAATGCATTCAAGTAAGGAAATAAATGAAGTGGTCCAGGGGGATTCCTATGGATTGGTATCTAAAAGGAGAGAAATTGACAATTGACAACTCAGCTCTAGAGAGTTCTAGTCAGACTGGTTTGGTTTTGCCAAATCTTCCAATACTCTAAGAGAATCTATACATCTGGTCTTTATGTGAATTTCCCATTGTTTATGCTGGTGAAATAATCTGGGTTTTCACAAACCCTAGGTGAGCTAAACAAAACATATCTATTATTTAGACACCTAAACGTCCCCACGGACTACCAGTTTGTAGCCTTTGCTCTAGACTCTGAGGACACAGTGGTACAAAAGTGGAGTACTTCAATCTCTGTTATCTTCATTGACACTATGGAGTATCAGTTGAATACTATCAATATCTGTTATCATCAAAGTTAGAGAATTGGCTTTCAAATTGTCTTATTCACAATGAAATAACTTGACTTCCAATTTATTGTGGCTGTTGCATTCACCACTTCATGACCAAATGAACCTGAGAACTGCCAAATGCCTTCCTTCTGTGTGGTTATGAAAGCAAAGGAGGCAGAGCAAAGTCTTTACCTGCAAAGGCGGTGGTAAAGCTGTCATTACCCTCACCATGACCTTCCCATTCCTCTCCGCAGGACTACAAGAGCAGGGGCCATGTTCTGCTTGGCATCTTCATGAGCTCACGGGCCACTACGTGGCATAATTCCCTGTAGTATCCATCTCGATACATATTCGCTGAACTGAATCTGAATACACATATGCTTTCTGATTCTGAAATCTAGAGTGCACACTGTTGCTGAAATAGTTCCCACTTAGTTCAAATGTCTGATCTTTATGGTCATGTCTACATGACACCAAAATAACTATTTACGCAATTTATCAGGAAAAATAAAAAATAAGCAGCCAAATTATCATTTGGAATGATACCAGAGATAATCTAAGCAACTGCTTTATCTGTAGCCGAATCATATCAGGCTCTCCACTCTATTTTAGACGGATGAGAAAGGCAAAATGGAGTAAGGCAAGCATAGTGCATTCTGAATGACTTTTTGTTTGAAATTATATCTCAGACTTAATATTATACTATTTGTTGGTCCTGCTTTAAAAACAGTAAAATAGGATTTGTGGAGCTCACCTCTGCAGCTTAGCAATAAATAGAGAGGAAGACTACCACTTTCCCTTATCTAAATGAAAAATTCAAGTCCTTAAAATATAGAAAGCACTAATGACAAAAAGTAAATAAACTCAACCAAAAACATCCTCCCTGAAACAGTTCTTTAATTTTAATGTATAAAAATGTTTATTTAAGCAAAATTGTTTTTAAAATGTAGACTCCTAAGGAGGGTTCTACCATCATACAAATAAGTGTGAAAAAAATACCACTATACAAACATTACCTGCAAATTTCATGTACCATGGGGCTCATAAACTGTGTGGTGAAAGCATATTTGGATACTATAAAGAGTAATTCCTTAAGAAAAATGATGAGAACCTGAATTCCAGCACACTGTAAATGCTGATAAAGTCTTTATTAATTTGATGTAGTCAATTAAATGCAAATATTTCTTGCATTTCACAAATGTGGACTGGAAACATCTACATGCATAATTAAACTCAAAGCTCATTCTAACTAGTAATACCCACAAGGAGCCCTTTTCCATCCATGTTTATCCAAAAAAGCAAAACCTCTGGGTTAAATGACTATATTCTGACTCCTTAATACCTTTGGTTTTGCCAAATCTTCCAATATTCAAATAATTTCTCCCATAAGCTTCTGAAGCCTCATCTATTTTAAAAAATCATTTGCCTCATTCAACACAGATACCTTATCAAGTAAAATATCAAAACATCTTTTGTTCTGTCATAAATTTCACAGTATTAGTAATGTGATTGTTCAAAAAACTATACTCACCTACCAAGAAATCAGCAACTTCATGACTAAAAACCTTTCTGCTTAAACTTCTGTAAAGTGGTTGATATCCATCTAGGTTTGATGCCATGGAAAACACAACCAAATTCTTAACAAGTGGTGTCTCTTCACTTTAAGTTTCTGTGAATCTCAATAATTATCTGAAAGTTCCATCTGAAGTAAGTCAAGTCATGTAACTGGGCAGTCTAACTTTTTTCTTTGAAAAAATAAGAGAATTAATACTTGATTGACTTATACATGAACCCAGTTACATTTCCTGACTCTCCTGCAACTGCCCAAAGAGATGAAAGTAGCTAAGGAAGTGATCTTTATTCAGATTGAATGTGAAAGAATAGTAAGGACAATACATTTCTCAATTTAATTTCCAGAATTTTTCAGTTAAATTTGACTTTCTGGATGAAAGTAAAGTTCGTTAGTGCAACAAATGCAGATAATGTTAAAAGGAAGACTAATGAAGTCGTAGAACATCAAAGAGAATTTAGAGGGCATCTCTGGGTGGCTGGTGGAACGAATGAGCTAACAAATGGGACAGCCCTTACACAAATGATTGGCCCTTGGTAAGAAGCTGGATCTGAATGACCAAGTCTAATACTCATTTACAGATGAGAAACTGAGGCAGGAAAGACAGACTCTTGCCATGTATGCATGGAAGGGTTTACCAAAAGTGTAAGAAAAATAATTGACTTGAGATGCAGAGTAACCAAAGGATGTTCTCCAATAGCACACTGCTGTACTTACTCAAATTCAACTGATAGAAAATAATTTTTGTAACCTCACTTCAAGGGGCTTTTCTAATTTTCCCCTATGAATGCCTCTGTTCTATTCATGAATATTTTATGTCCTGGTTCCAAAAACAAAAGTAAGTTAGGGAAAGGCGTATCCTTATCATTGCACTTCCACAATTTATTCTGAAACCTTTAGTTAAAATTATTTCAGACCTTGGCAAATAAATGCCATAGAACCAACCTCAAACCATATCACTTTAACAATTTTCCTCCTCAGTCCACACTTTCTCTTTGCTACATGCCCACTTGAAGTGGCTAGTACACTATTTTCAGCCCTAAGGAAATTTCTGAACATCAACTAAGCTGGTTTTGGTCAGATCTGGGGGGACAACAATCTTTGTCAGTATTTACCTTCACAGACATTTTTACTTTTATTTTTTTGTGTGCCTGGACTTGAATGAAAAACCAGCTTGAAAAGGCAGGGCTCAGCCCTGAGAGCCCTGGCCATCCCACTGCACCTGTCACCCTTACCTGTTTGCAGGACCTCAGTTCTCTCTTCTCCATCCAGAGAAACAATCCGGAAGTGATAGATGGTTCCTGCTTGTAAATCCTTGGGGTTACATCCATAGGTGGTGTTGTCTATCTGCATGGGGTGGCACCACGCGACCTCCGAAGTGTCATTGTTGTAGATGAGGCTAAAGTTACAGGGTGACCCCAAAGTTCTCCACTGGAGAGACACGGACCGGCTGGACACCCTGGACTCCGTCACAGTGAAGTTGCATTTTACTGGCTCCCCCAGTCCAGTCTGCAAAGGAATCAGAGACAACAGCTGAAGCCTGCAGACTACAGTGACCGGGGACATATTCACAGTAAAGCTCCCCAAATTGCCTCTGCTCCCCGTTCCCCCCAGCCAGAGAAAAGAACCAAGGCAGAGGTGGGTGGCAACATTTTCCTCAAACGCTCTTTTGGAAAAAGAAGGTGGCTTTTTGCCTTTCACAGTAGAATGAGCTGTGAGTCTGGCTCGGGGCTCAGTAAGAGGATCTTTCTTCTCAAGGGAGAGCAAGTCCCAAAACACAGCTCAGGAGACGAGAACCTGGACTGGGAATGTGGTTCTCGGCGCGGAGGGGGCGCGCTATCGCGACCTCTTCCAAGCCCACCCACCTGCAGCAGGCTCAGGGCGGTCCACAAGGCCAGCCAGGCTCCATGGCTCAGCATCGCGCCCACCGGGGCTCGGCGCCTCGACGCAGCGGCTGGGACGCGGCGCGCCTCCACCTGTTGCGCGCGCTCAGCGCGCCGCGCGGGCGCAGGACACCTCCCTCCCGGCTGGCGACGCGCGGGGGCCGCGGCCGCTGCGGCTGCTGGCCGGGCTGCTGCGGCCGCGGGCGGGCTGCGGACGCGAGAGGCGGCGGGGGCGGGCGGCGCGCCGCCCTTCCCACGCTGCCATTCTGACCCGCGCGGCCTCGCCCCGGGCCCGTCCGCGGACTTCCGCAATCAAAAGGCAATTTCCTCGTCTCCCGGCAAAGGAACAATGCGCGGGCAAGGGAGGGAGCCCCGAGGAGCCAACGCCTGAGGCTGCCCAGGAGGCCGGGCGGGCCCAGCTGGCCGCGCTGCCGGGGGTCCCGGCCGTCCCGCGGCGCTCGGCTCCGCCGCCTCCTGCGCCCGACTCTCACTCTTCGCCCTGGGGGCCTCCCCGCGCCGTCCTGGCCGCGGCCGGCACCTCCCGCTCTCACCTTCCAGCCCCGCGCCCGCCCCCCTCCGCGCTCCGCACCCAGCGCCTCCCCCTGCCTATCTTCCTTCCTATCTTCCTCCTCTGCTTTCTCCACGGCCTCTTTTCCCATGATTAAACTTGACCACAGCACGTTTCCCTAGGTCGCCGCACTCTTTCCTGAAGCCTTTTATTAGAGTGTTTTTGCCCTTCTCACCTCAAGGCATTCATTTGTCCCAAAGCACAGGCCCCTGACAAAGAGAAAAAGACGCCCAGAGGTTCTTGTCCATCGTCGACAAGACCTTTATTATTTCCCGCCTTTCGCTTTCTGCTTTCTCCCGGGTAGCCGTCTGCGTCCTCCCTAAATCTTACACCAGCGGTGCTAACCAAGAACAAATATAACCACCATCGACTGTTTAGCCCACAAGCAATGCAGTTTCATCACTGACCATGTAAGAAATATAAATAAGAAAGCCATATAAACTCTTGTTTGTGGAAAATACTGCTGCTGGCTCAGCTCCCCTATTACAAAAAGTTGAAATTTATTCAGTTTGCAGCACTAACTTTATGCCGTTTTAGCGACTTGTCTCGGTTCCTGAATGATCATGTATCTGAAAATGGGTTTTAAAACGAGTTCCCGAGAACCAAAGGGCAAAAATGTACCCAGGTAATAGAAGCAAAATATTGAGACAATTTTTAAACTCATCCACCACTTGGTTTGCACTTTCTTAGCTTTTGCTGCCTATCCTTTTTGTCTCTTCCGTTGAGGTTTATAAAATTTTCTCATAAATTGCCAATCAGATTTGGAATCTTCTGACCCAAGTATACTAAATACTCTTCCTTCTTTTGTGGGACTCTTCAATAAATTCAAACTCCTCCAAGTTTTCCCAAATATCCTTTTTTTTTTAAACACTACATGCCACCAACCTACTGTACCCTCTAAGTTAATGTTAAAATTATGTCTCATTTCCAATATACTGTCTAACATTCCTTCCTTATAATTGATGTACCCAAATGCACCAAATAGACAAAGTTTGAAGAGGACCAATCAAACAAGGCAATAACAAAATATCCTCACAACAGTCTAGATGCTTCCAAATTCTATTATTAACAGTGATGAGCTAATGTTGTCCTTGGGAATAGTAATTAGGAAAAGAAAGGGTGATTTCTTTAAATACAATTATTTTATTTTTGATTTATCAAAGACAGGCATATACATTTAGAATCATCTGTTGTCTTTGATCTATTCTAATATTGATATGTATGAAGAATCATAGCAATATGTGAAGGGAAGGACTTGAAGTCATAGACTTTTCCAAAGGTATATAACTGCCAGTTTTGTTTTAATTTGGTTTTTTTTTTTTTTTTTGAGACTCTTAAAGCTCACAGCAGAACTGACAAATACTTAGTGGGTCCTAAGTGATTCGTAAGAATGAACATAATATGAAACAATGAGGGAAAGTTTAAACTTAGGCTTTTTTGTGATTATGTTTTTTCTTATTAACATAAGAAATTAGAAATGTCATGGATTCAAGGCAGTATGAGACTAGGAAAAGTTGCCAGTATCATCTTTGCTATTTGAAACTACTGTACAAAATATAAATAAATTGATTCAGTTTTTTCTTTGTTCTCATCTTTGTTTGAAATTCCTCAACTTCTTTTGAACCTGTGTCTCCTGCCTGGTGACACTGTATTTCCTTTAGAAGTTACTACATTCCAGGAATTTAGGATCAGCCACTCTAAGTTTTCAGAGGATGACCTCTTCTCTTTGCCACTAGAAAACCTTTCCCAGACTGCATGGGAAGGGTGGGGCTGCTTTCAATTAGATCTGAGTGAACAAACAGCTGTCTTTCAAACAAATTGTCATGGCAGTTAATTAACACATGTTATAATTTGCATATCATTAATTATGATTTCACAGATGAAAGCATGGCTCTTGTCACATTATGAACATAAAGGTGACACAATTAGTCCTCAGGTTCCCAAGGGCCACACTTTAAGAACGACTACTGTAGATCAGTGTTTGAACTGGGTGTGGGAAGGTTGAGGGGATAAGGGGACAGCAGAGTGGACTGGGAAAGTTGATGGGTTAATCCAAAACTTTTCATCTATGACTTAAAAGGTCCTTCATGACCTGGTGTCTGTTTGCTCACCCCTCACTTCTCTCCTGTGTGCCTCCTATGCTTCAGTGGCCTGCATCTGATAATTCATTTACTCATTCATTCAGCAAACACTGACTGAGTACTGACTGTGTGCCAGGTTCTGGTGTAGGTTTTGGAGACACCCCACTGGAGCTGACTTTTTCCTGTCCCAGGGCCTTTATGCCTGCCACTTCATCTTCTTGGGCCACAACTCAAACACACCTTTATGGGGCCAGGCCCTTTCAGACCTCACAAGGAAAAAAGTGTTCTTTTATTGTTCTTCATCTCAGAAACTAATTTGTTTAACTCAGAACATTAATAACACTTGGTAATAAACTAATTATGTGTGTGTATGTGCATATAATTATTTATATGTCTGCTTTTCTCATTATATGGGGAATTTCCTTAGGGCAGAGTCTTGGTCTTATTCTTCTTGCACAGAGCTTGGTATAAAAGTAGTGTTTTAACAAATATCCATTGTGTGTGAATGGATGATTCTTTGCACATGCTCAGTAAATATTGTTGCATGAATAAATACTCTAAGCAAGTACTTCTAAGTATGTTCCTGCTGGAATCCTCCAATATCATCTTGGAAAGGAGGGAAGGAAGGAAAAGAGGAAAAAAGAGGGAAGAGCAAAAGAATAAAAAGGAGAAGAGAAGATTGATTTTGAAGAGAAAGAGAAAGAGGGAGGAAAGAAAAGAGTGACAGGGAAGAAGAAAGAAGGGACAGGAGGGAGTGGAAGGAGGTAGTAGCCCTTAGGACAGGGGTTCTCAAAGTGTAGTATCAGCATCATCTGAGAACTTGCCAGAAATGTAAGTTCTAGGGCCCTACCACCAGGGGAAGAATGATATATGCTGTGGAGGAGTCAAATAATATGGTTGTTTTTTTTTCTCTCAAACAAGACTTCCAGCTCTAGTTGGTGAAAACAATTATTTAAAGTCCAAACAAACATCTCAGATAGTCAATCCCTCTGCCCTAAACCTTGCACCAGATATCATGTTATATTTAAGAGACTTGGAGATACCTTATTGTGCTTTTTCTTTCAAATCCCACTGAGCTCTCTGGTTACAAGAAGCTGTACAACTGATTGAGAAGATACTGAACAAGTTTAGAATGTGTCAAGTAAACTGTGATACAATATTTTGTATTATATGTAATATATGTATTACATAATATAATGATAAATACATAAATAATGTAAAATATGTATAATAATATGTCAATAATATAAATAATGTGTAAATACAATATGTAAATATAAAAACAAATATAAATAAAAAATATAAAAATGCTAATATTTTATATAACATGTGTACTTACATATGCATATATAATGTATGTAATGTCTATATTGTGTATGTTTATAATGTATACTATATACATTTATAATATATGATATGCATGTTTTTATATTTATTTCTCAATAAAAATTAAATACAGATGCTAAAGGAAAAAGGACCAACATGCAGCAAACTTAATAAATGTTAGATGACAGGCCAATTCTGATACCTTGTTCTCTGAGGAAATTCCTTTTGTTATACAATGCTCATGTGTGTTTCCCCAGATATTTTTAAAAAGGAGGCCTAGCAATCAGGGAATGTGTCAATTAAAGACAATTACAAGATGGCAAATCCTTTTCTAAGTTTTAATTTGAGCTGGCTCAGTAGTAAGTAAATTACTGAAAAAGTGAATGTAATTTTAACCTGCCAGGTGTCATGCATTTAAAAAGAAGTGCATTAAAATTTAAGGTAAGATAATTTTGATAAGTAGTTTTTTAAAAAAAGACAAAATAAACTTTTTTCTTTAGGGCTATGATTTGGGGATTCTTATATGTCAAGGAATCTTTCTAGTTCCTAGGTCAGTTCTCCAGGAAAATCGAAATAATACAGGCATTCTGGGGGCAGTTGCAAGGATTAAATGAGAAGGTGCATGTTATAGGTATAGCACAATCCCTTGCT